AACACCAGTTCCTATGAATAATAATGATAATTATTATACTGTAGGGATGATGACAGTCAGAGGTGTGTTTGTGTGTTTTGAGACAGACAGGATGAGCGGGGGTCACCTGCTTTCAGTCTGGTGGAGTTAGTGTGTCTGTCGAACCCAGGCGTGCTGTGGTGATCTGACAGTAATCCACAGCCACTGCAGTGCGGAGTGTGTGTTACATTATCTGTCTTAATCCGCTAATCCGCGGACACACAGCTAATCTCAATCCCACCCCCACACACACCTTCCTCAGTAATCACTCTAATGATGGACCCCCGGCAACCGCCTTTCCACCCCTGACTGACACACACACACGCACGCACACACACACACACACACACACACACACACTCCTCCCAGGCAGCTTTCATTAATGGAATTCACAGCCCAGGGCGAAACACAAAGCAAACATATGTTCAGCAAATATGTGTGTGTTTTGGTCTCTGTGTCACTGTAACTGAGAGCGTTTAATAGAGTCACTGGCGTGTGCGAGTCTTTGATGTGATTCGCTTTTTTTTTTTTTTAAACCCTCGACAAAGACACACATCTCTCATCCACTGCCTGGCCCAAAAATGAAAGCTCAGCCAAAGCGTAAGCTGATATGACAGGACACGAGAATGAGGCACTTCTTGAATTAAAGGAGTAGTTCAGCTGAAAAACGAAGACTGTCATCTCTGCTTTTTGACAATCTCCTCCTCATCTGGGCCCACACCTGTATGACTTTCTTTTCGATTCGCTCATGTAGCTGATTCTTCCCAAGCTCCAAAAAACAAGCATAATGTGTTCCATATGACTTTGTGTGAGGGCCTACATTTTTAGCTTGTAATTCATTAATAATCTTTTTTCCTCTAGCTCTCATTTCGGGCTCTATTTTGACGGTCCATGCGCAGAGCGCAAAACGCAGGGCGCAAACGCTTTCAGGGCGTGTCAGGACGCATTTTTGCTAATTTAAGGACGGAAAATCTGCCTTGCGCCAAGACGCATGGTCTAAAAGGGTTGAGTTTATTTTCTTAATGGCTTCAGACCCCAGCAAGCTACTCAGGGGTCCACCTCTCTCCCTGGACTTGCAGTCTGGGCCCCAGAGGGCCCCCTTGCCATTCAAATAGTGGTCTCTGACCCCAGCAAGCTACCCAGGGGCCCAAGCCATTTTAAAAAAGTATCACCAAAACCAGCTGAAGGATTTGGTACCTTAGCTGTCAATCTGACATTACAATGAATTTATTTATGAAAATTGATTGTTAAATAGTATATATTCAGTAATATAACATTTTATTTTGGATTTTTCACAGCAAGAAGATCTCTAGTTCGAGTCCCGACTGGGCCAGTTGGCATTTCTGTGTGGAGTTTGCATGTTCTCCCTGTGTTGGCGTAGGTTTCCTCCGGGTGCTCCGGTTTCCTCCACAGTCCAAACTCATGTGCTCTAGGGGAACTGGATGAACTAAATTGGCTGGAGTGTGTGAGTGTGTGTGTGTGTGAATGTGAGTGTGTTTGGGTTTGTGTTTGGCTAGAGGGGCATCCACTGCGTATAACATATGTTGGCAGTTCATTCCGCTGTGAAATGTGAAATTCCGCAACCTCTGATAAATCAGCCGAAAAAAATTATGGGTTTTAAATAGCCATTAGGCTTTTTTTGTGGTGACTTTCCATCAGGGCTTAATTTGTGCCAGAACACACCGGATCCGGCACCTCTGAAATCTGATCCGGCACCTCATTTTACTGACCCCCCTTTTCAATTGCCCTCCTTCCCCGTCCGCTATTCACTTCCACTTTCATCCGCGCCAACCAACATTACTTTCATTACTTTCAAAAGTAACTTTCCCCAACACTAAAGGTGAAGAAGGGGGAGGGGCAAGACAGATACTAGAGAGCATTTGATTAGTCAGAAGATTTGATCAGAAACTGAAGTATGAGGTGACGTTGTAGTTGGCCGGCGACTTGCAGGAATTACACTTATTACTAAGCTATACCTACATGCTATTTCAGAGAAAATATTCAGAGCAGCAGTGAACAATATAGGGAGCGCGTCACAGGCTGATATTGTTCAAAAATGAACCAATGTGAATATAAAACCAACTTCAGCTCAGTAAAGCAGGCTAGGTGGAATCGTGCTATTTACCCATGTTTTGTTTTTAACTAAATAAAAATCTAGATCATTGATGCTGTAAAAAGACCTTAAGAAACTGGAAATAGTCACATCAATATTTCGCCTGAAGATTTCAGCGGCTAAACAACACTTCTGTGCATATAACCCATTAATAACAACACAATCTACATCAGCTTTGAGTGACTTAAAGAGCTTAAAAAAATAACATTACCTGTCTAAAAACAGCCATGCCCAGAAAGCATTTTGTGTTTTTAAAAGATTTGTAATAGATGTCTAATAGACATCCAAGCATAGTCGTCTTAGCTAAAACAAGGCTAAATTTGGGCCGCCAGTGAATATCTAATAGACGCTTAAGAATAGGCCAAAACTAGACTAGTCATCAAATAAACAGAAATGAATGACTATGTCTGACTAATGTCTGTCCAATCTGTCTATTTGATGACTACAGTCTAGTTTTGGGCTATACTTAGAAGCCAGATTTTCACTGACGGCTGAAATTTAGGCTTGTTTTAGCCAAGCTGTCTACATTTAGATGTCTAGTAAACACAAAATTGATTACTGGGTGGTGTCGTCCTTCCTTCAGCGTGCAAAAGTAACTGGAAGCGGCTGGAAGGGCATTTGCTGTGTAAAAATGTGCTGGATAAGTTGGCGGTTCATTCCGCTGTGGCGACCCCGGATTAATAAAGAGACTAAGTCGAAAAGAAAATGAATGAATGAATGTATTACTATTGGAGTGTGAAGAGACTTTCAACCAGCACACCAAAAAAGGGTCCTGGAGACAATCCCCTACTGCAGCGGTTCCCAACAGGGGGGTCACGGCCCACAAGGGGGCCTCAGCGAGCTTTGTGTGGGTCGCGTCATACTAAAAAATATCTTAGCAGTGAAAAATTAGGAGAACGATCATGTTGCCTTAGCTCATTTTATCCCCTAGCTCAGTGGTCCTCAACCATCGGTCTGTGGATCAATTGGAACCGGGCCGTACAAGAAATCATTAATTATTTCTGTTTTATTTATTATCTGAGTCTAAATGATCTTTTATTTTGAAAAAGTCTTTTATTTTGAAAAATGACCGTATGGTCACCTGAGCGCAAAAAATTTAACCCACAAGCAGCAAAATGAGTAAGAAACAGACGTCCTTGGAAAGATTCTTTGCTAAGGGAAAAACGCCCAGCAAAAGACCCCCGGACTGCCAAGGAATGGATCCGCAACCCCCCTGTCAACAAATCAGGTGAACCCAACAAAGAAAATCAACTGATGGAGATTGCAAATGACAGCAGCCTTTGAGGGGTCATTCGCATATCGTGTATTTCTAGAGTTTGCACAAGTTTGCTGTTTCCAATGGAATTGCTCGGCTTGCGCACACAAGCGGTGTGACACGCTCGCACCAATAAATCTTGCGACGTGAGACCAGCGCAGGTCACGTGACAAGAATTGACCGATCAGCTTCAGCTTGTAAGGAATATTCAAATATCGGTAAGACTAATTTTCTAAGACAAAAACAAAACACACCAACACTGCAGTCCTTTGTACTTTTCTCCATAAATAAATACTGCATCAGAGAGTGACAGCAATGTTTTGCCAGTTTTTCATCCTCTGAGAAAATGGTTGATGGTCACATAGCAACCTACGAAACACCCACAACCCCCTGCAGTAAAATTGTCAAGCGTTGACCGCTTTGCAATGATAAAAAGGTTGAGGACCACTGCCCTCGCTGACCAAAATGGACAAATTTGCATTCCGTCCTCCACAACTGTCACCGACTCGGTCCCAGTCATTCCCCTCGCTGGCCAGCAGAGGCCGCCATCCCCGGATTTCTAAGCATTACATCATCCACCTAGACTGATCGTGCACACACCTGAACTGAATCCAGGTAACGACCCACGCTCCCTATATAAGCCACACTCAAACTCCAGTTCACTGCGAAGTCTTGTTTCAGCCCCGGCCAGCATTACTGAGCGTTATATGCTGCCTGATCTCCTGTGTATTACTCCAGCCCGTTTCTGACTCTGCTTTGCCTTCTGCCTGCCCACGACCCAAGCCTGATACACGGACTCTGATACTCGCTGCCTGCCCTTGATCCAAGCCTGATACACGGACTCTGAATCACGCCGCCTGCCTCTGACCCTTGCCTGGTAATTCACTCTGTGTCTGTCAGCCGCCAGCCTTGATACCTTTACTGCTACTGTCGATGTGTGTTTGCACCTTTGTGCATATTGTATGTTTGAGTAAGGGTGATTAATAAATACATTACAACAACAAAGACAGTCTCACTGATTCGCCTCACATCAATCCTCACACTAATTAAAAGAGCATAACAAATAACATGCAAGTAGTAAATTGTAATAGCCTATATTATTTTCCCCCCTATACACCTGTGTGAACACTGATATTTTTATTATTGAATGTCAAACAGGGCCAATTTAAAGGCCAATGGCTTACATTTTTCATTTACAAATGCCCTACTGATGTTTAGCTTTTATATTTTACATTAGGCTATTATTCATTCATTCATTCATTTTCTTTTCGGCTTAGTCCCTTTATTAATCCAGGGTCACCACAACGGAATGAACCACCAACTTATCCAGCACATGTTTTACGCAGCAGACGCCCTTCGAGCTGCAATCTCTAGGAAACATTAGGCTATTATTTGAGCATAAACATATCTAGATATACTAATAAAAATATTGTTTGTTTGAAATCAACATTTTTTGTCACCATTACTGCAAACTTATATGAGAGATTATATTATTAAATGTGGAGGGGGGCCTCACAATATTTCCCGGAGAAAAAGGGGGTCTCACCACTGTTGGGAACCACTGCTCTACTACACCTTTAAGTATCCTGCACACGTTTGAAAGTGTACACTCACCTTGTTTGCTCAGTGGCGCTCTCTCTCTGCTGTCACTCTGTTTGTCTGTTTTGGGCACAGACGCGTCACTGGAGCCGATGCCTGAGTCTGCGCTGACAGAGACAACCTAAAGACAAACACAAATTCACACCCACGTCAACAGAAGACACACCAGGAAACAAAGCAAACAAATACAAAACAAGCGCATTATGATGAATAAAACAGCAGCGGGTCCTTTGTGTGAATTAATTGAAGTGATTTATTAAGCGCAGGCTGCATCCATTAACGCACAGCGTTTGGCAACGGTAAGTGCTAATGCACTGGTACTCTCTCTCTCTCTCTCTCTGTCACGCTGGCTTCATTGTAATGCAGGAAATAACGGAGGCCGACTTCCACACACATTTAATTTTATCTTCGAATAAAAGAGCTATAGGAAAGAATTAATCTGCTTAACATTTCTAAGTACGCCCTCCAAAGGCGCGGGGCTGTTTTAATCTTACATATGCTCAGCAGAGTTACTGGCGAAAAAAAAAAAGCTGTACGTTTTCTTTATCTCATCCTTTCAACATCAAATGGCGAGCAGCAAAAATTGGATCAGACTTCAAAGCTCGGCGATGTGCTCCAAGTCACAGAGTGGCTCTACTATTTCACATATTGAATTCGAGAAGGATATCAAAGTCCTAGCAAAAGAACCTCAGGTCTTTACTGGAAAAAAAAAAAAGAAGGGGGCTCCAACATCTGTAGAGAGAGCAGCGAAAAAGACAAATCACCTCAGGGAGAAGTCAGCGTTTACTCTCTACCACGCTTTTCCAGCCTTTTGATTCACTTCTTCTTCTCTCTCTCTACCTCCCTCTCAGTGGAGAAGTGGATTCTCAGCGAGGGAACTGTCTCTTTTGTCTGGAGCACTGTGCCGTTTGATCTGAGGCCTGCTCTGTGTGATATTCAGTGCGCTTAGGTGACAGTAGAGCTCATATTAACATGAGCTGCATCAAACGTGCAATTAAAGGAATAGTTCGCTCAAAACTGAACATTCTGTCAACATTTATTCATTCTCGTGGTGGTCGGATGGATGGTCGTGCTGCACTATTTAATATAAAAAAGAGGTACGGTGGCCAAGGGCAAAAAGCAACACAAAAGCAGGGTTAATCTTTAGGGTGTCTGCACACTGAAGTCCGAAATGTTTTTTTTTTATATATATTTTTTTTCTCATCCGCCACATTCTGTCTTTATACAGCAAGGACAATAAGTATTTTTAAGGTGCCATTGACTTGGAATTTTCACTGGATGTTGATAACAACCAGAGAAATCCATAAATGCAAAGACAACAAAACTAACTGGTTAAAATGACGCAGGGAAAAGTATTGAACACATGAAGAAAGGAAGGTGTAGAAAGGTAGTGAAGGTCCAGACAGCAGCTGAAAACTCTCAGAAGTTATTCAGCAACCCTTTCTAAATGAATATCAGCTGCTTCAATCCAACATCTACATTGGCAGGATGATGAAGATGAAAGCAGGGTGGACATTTCAGCAAGACAACGATCCAAAACACAGCCAAGGACTCTTGAATGCTTTCAGAGAAAGAAAACCAAGCTGTAGAATGGCCCAGACAGTCACCTGACTTGAATCCAATAGAGAATACTAAATAAAGCTCAGATTTGATGGACGGGACCCACAGAAGCATCAAGATTTTGACACTGTTGTGTAAAACTCACACCTGAGCAACGCATGCGGCTTCATTCTCCATATGAGAGGCGTCTTTAAAGGTGCCATCACCAAAAACGCAGTTTATAATAAGTATTAAATACATTTCAGTAGTTCAGCACTCTCTCCTTGTGTCATTCCAGTGTTATGACACATAACTAATTTTTCAGAATTTTTTTGTTTTGTTTTATTTTTACGTTTGGGTTTTTACCTAAATCTGATTCAATTCCGTGTCAACAGCTATTTCAGTAATATTATTCCCAGGAACAAACATAAAGTGTTCAATACTTATTTTCCCAGCTATATTCATTTATGCACTGTGCTTGACACGAAGTGATCTGTGCTGGTCAAATGGTGGCATTCTGTAGTTTGCCTTCCGCTTGTACGGAGGCTCGAAACTATCAAAACACTTCTCAAACACTTGTCCGGATGTGAAATACAGAAGAAAATTAACCCTTAAATTTAAGAAGTTTTGGATGCAGTTTGTCAATATGATTGATACAACGAGAGGTCAAGTAAATTTTTTAACATGAGAAAATTAGGGACAAACGTTTCGGATTCAGAGTGCAATAACCCTTATACTGAATTTTTTGAACGACTTGGAAAAGAAATACAAACACATTATACATTGAAATGTGGAGTCTAAAAATCTGTATAAAACTCAAAGAAATAATTAAGAAATATGTATGTTTTTACGACTATGATTTCTACATGAAATTATTCTTTATGTTTTCATATATACAGTTGAAGTCATAATTATTAGTCCCCCTAAATTATTAGCCCCCTTGTTTATTTTTTTCCCCAATTTCTTAATGGAGAGAAACATTTCAAAACATAATCAATTTAATAACTCATTTCTAATAACTCATTTATTTTATCTTTACCATGACAGTAATTAATATTTGACTAGATATTTTTCAAGACACTTCCATACAGCTTAACGTGATATTTAAAGGGTTAACTAGGTTAATTAGGTTAACTAGGCAGGTAAGGGTGATTAGGTGAGTTATTGTATAACAATGGTTTGTTCTGTAGACAGTCGAAAAAAAATTAGCTTAAAGGGGCTAATAATTTTGACCTTAATATGGTTCATAAAAAAATTAAACTGCTTTCATTCAAGCCTACATGAAACAAATAAGACTTTCTCCAGAAGAAAAAATATTATCAGACATGCTGTGAAAATTTCCTGAATCTGTTAAACATCATTTGGGAAATATTCAAAAAAAGAAAAAAAAATTCACAGCAGGGTGAAATATTCTGACTTTAACTGTAGATAGAAATATTATAAATATAAATTCAGGAACAACAAGTCTGACCTTTTCATCCGGCGAGTGATTGGTGGAAGATCTTTTGGAACTGGGTTGTCTGTGAGTAAAAAAATGAAAAAACATAACAAAAAAAAAAACATTAAGTATTAACATAAATACACATTCCAAAATGTTTTTGTATAAAACTAAACATTTTCAAAGGGATAGTTCACCAAATAATGAATATTCTGATTCAACATGAATTTATCTGTTTGAGTTTCTTCACTCTGCTGAACACAAAAGGAGATGTTGAGGCCAGCAGGTGACACTTAACCTGTGGTCTGTGGAGTACAAATGTTTGAAAACGTTTATTATTTGGTTCAAAAGCAAACTTTTGGGTATTTGGGTGTCATGTATTTGTAACATGTAACACAAAAAATGCTTTCATAATTCATGCAATAAATAATATTTAGTTTTTGTGCTAAATTTTTTAGAACATGGCATTATAAGAAGTTGATATTTCAATGAAATATTTCCCAAAAAATATATATTTCTGTAGCCACACCCAGGCCTGATCATTGCCACACCTGTTCGCAATAAAGAATTACTTAAACAGGACCTGACTGACAAACTGAAGTAGACCAAAAGATCCTCAAAAGCAAGACATCACGATGATTCAAAGAAATTTAAAAACAAACATTTGGGATTTACCAGTCTGGAAAAGATTACAAATTTAGGAAGGAACATGCTCTCATAATTCATGTGATAATTAATATGTTTATTTTTTTGTGCTTAAGGAATTTTTGGATATAAAATCATATGAAGTTGATAATAAAATGAAACATTTCCATAAAAATGTATGTCTCTAGTCACACCCAGGCTTCATTACTGCCACACCTGTTCGCAATCAAGAAATCACTTAAACAGGACCTGCTTGACAAAGTATACCAAAAGATCCTCAAAACAAACAAAAAATGACATCTACCATTCTGGAAAGGGTTTACATATTTAGGAGAAAAAATGCTCTCATAATCCATGCGATGATTAATATGTTTTGGGGTTTTTTTTGTGCTTAAAGGTGCAGTATATAAGTTTGACACCTACTGGATGAACAAGGTATTGCATTCCTAGATCAAAACACACACACAAGCGCAGGTTGTCAGATTGAGGACCAACAGGTGCAGGTGACTATTGAGCCTGAAGGCTGATTTAAATCATGTTCTAAATAAAAGCATCAGCACGCGACAGAGGCAAAACTTTACATTAAAAGGAAAATTTTGTCCTAACCAACACCTGACAATTAAATTTTAGAAACTATTACTCACAGCTGAACAACAAAAAACTAAAAATGATCACTTCAGGTACTTCATGTGCTTTAATCACTGTTATATGCTAGTAATGTGAGTTTGAATGCCATTTCACATGACATTTATTTCCATGAAAGCAGCAGCAGATAGTTCACCTCAGATCTTGAAAATAAAATAAACTGTTTAAAATTTACCTTTAGAACTGTGACTCAGTGCAAACCAACACATATCAGCGATTCAGCATATATATTTTATAATGTGAAACAGCTTGAATATGTATTAATTACATTATAAACCTTACCATTTTGTTGGAGTGCAATGAGTCCACTATTCTGTGCTTCTGAAAGGCTGTATTTAAAATTCTGTCATGTTTCGTCTGGTGCAAACGGCCAAATTGCTCATCACTGCAAATCTCATCATGAAGCGTGTTGTTTGGACACAGCAGTGCCTAATTTGTGAATTGCGAGTTCCCACACATCGGGGCAACAGATCGGGCATGTTACCCAAGGATGTAGAGTTGCCACACACAAAAGCGGAAAGCGGAAGGGGAGGGATGGCGGGCCGTTGGATGGTGGACGGGTGTTGTGGACGAAAGTGAAGAGCGGGGAACTTTGTCATGGACGAAAGTGAAGATGAAGAGGGAGGAGGGCGGTTGAGGAAGGGGATCAGTAAAATGAGGTGCCGGGTAAGATTTCAGAGGTGCCAAATCCGGATCCGGTGTGTTCCAGCACAAATGAAGCCCTGGGACACAGGGTTACAATGTAACCTGCTCACTTAATGCTTATGTTCATAATATTTATATTATTTGCTAATTAATAACCTTGCGTAATATAATAACCTTTCCATTTCGGAGGCTGTTACTGTCCTCCGTAGGTCACATTTCAACTACGGACACAGACTTTGAGAGCCTTCATGAATGAAATACGCAGTTTTCCACAAAGGCAACCCGGGTGCTGAAATTTAATTGGCTAAACTAGCATTGGAAGGGTTAAAGGGACCAAAACAAAAACAGATGTCTGGCTCGTAATGCACAATTTCAAGCAGAATATCTGACTTCAGCATTGTTTTTCAGATAAACAAGAATGTTTCTGAAATATCTGTAAACATATTATGGTATTGCTATTCTTTAGGAGAGTCAAAAACTTACATACAGCACCTCTAAAATATGCCACTGCAATATTTGACCCAAAGATTAACAGTCCTTTGGTTGCTGGATAAACGATAACACAACAAATGAAGATAAACTTCATAAAAAATAAATAAATAAATAATAAAAAAAAAAAACACACACACACACACACACAAAAGTTTGTCCTCTGTGTGAATAGATTTACACCAAATGTTCTGCGTATACAACCGACGCCATAAAACAGCAAATCAGAATGTGAAAAAAAGCTCTTGTGAACATGTGACCACCACAATATCAATGACATCATCATTAAGATCCCCCAGCCACCAATCATTACATAACTGCTTAGTGCAGTAGAGTCTGGGGGGCGTGTAAGATTTACATACATACACACACACACACACACACACACACACACACACACACACACACACACACACACACACACACACACACACACACACACACACACACACACACACACACACACACACCTGCCCCTGTCAGCTAATGAGCATGTAGGTAAGTTTATGAACTTTACAAGAGAAAATTGGGCCAGTTGATGTCAAAATAAATCCATAACGCTCTTCTCCGGCTCTGATGAAACAGAATAGCAAAGTATGAGTTTTGAAGTTTTCCACCACTGAGACTTCTGATATAAACAAGCAATGAGAATCCCCTCTGATAAGCCAACTGGCTGGAGGATACACACACATAAACTTATACACGCAAACACTCTCAGATGTGGGAGGGCAGATCGACACTTGGATTTGATGATTTTTTTTTAATCCAGATATTACGATATTGTCAGCGATCATCATGTTCCAAAGATTGAAAAAAAAAATTACGTATCCATGCACTGTATGTAGAGAAAGATCGGAGATCTCATTTCAGCTTTGATTTACACTCACTGGCCACTTTATTAGGTACACCGTCCAACTGCTCGTTAACGAAAGTTTCTAATCAGCCACTCACATGGCAGCAACTCAATGCATTTACGCATTATATATATATATATATATATAGCCAGACCGGTTCCAGCTGATAGAAAGGCAACTCAAATAACCACTCGTTACTACTGAGGTCTGCAGGAGAGCACCTCTGAATGCACAATCTTGAGGCGGATGGGCCAAATATGTGCATACATTTTGCAAACAATAAAATAGGAATATATTGATGCTCACAATATGATTTAAGGAAGCTAACTGAGATGTTTGCACAAAGTCTAACAAAACATCTCAGAGACAGGCTGAAGGGGGGACCTACGGGACTGTATAGACAGCTAAACACACAATCAGGCAAAAACACACCATGATAACATACAAAGGAAACAAACACAATAACCAGACCCAGAACTCACCCAGTCCATTGTCGACTCTGTTTGTAGTCCTTCCTGACTCTGTAGCCTCGGTATACTGTAACACAAATTCACATACTGTACATAAACAATGGCTAATTTAACATAACAAGACAACAATTCAACACTTTTATAATCTACACTGCAAAAAATGCATTTCTTAGAGATTTGTGTTATGAATATATAAACATTCATAAATCAACAAGCATTTTCCAGAGTTTAAACATTTTCAAAATGAAGTCAGTTTTTCCTTAAACAAGCTAAATCTGCCAGTGGGTGAAGTAAAATAATAGAGTTTGATATGAGCATTGGTTCATCATGTGACTGCATCGTTACCAAATACTTATGGTTGTGTTTTTGTCAATGTAACAAGAGAGGTGTGGTTTAAATATTAGCACTTCACAACACTGGTGTATTACCGCTAAGTTAATGCAATATGGTAGGTTATCATAAAACATTATTTACTGTAATTTTAACACTAATATACTGGCAACCACAGCAGCCATTTGAATTTTACTCTTTATTTTATTTTAATTCTTTTTTGCAAATGAATGAAATACGATAGTTTACCGTAACAATTTAAATCTATTTTACGTTTTCTACTGTATTTTTAGTGCTAAAACACTGGCAACCACAGCTGCCAATATATATATATATATATATATATATATATATATATATATATATATATATATATATATATATTAGATTTTTCACAAATTAATGAAATACGGTAGTTTATCGTTTAGTTTTTTTTATAAATGTTATTGTTTGTACTGTTTTAATGCTAAAATACTGGTCACCACAGCTGCCATTTTAATTTTACAGATTTTCCTTTATAAATTAATAAAATACGGTAGATTACCATAAAAATTTGTACATTTGTTTTATAGTTTTTACAGTATTTTTAGCACAAAAATACTGAGAACAACAGCTGCCATTTTAATTTTACTAATCTTTTTATTTTTTTTTTAAAAAATTAAAGAAAAACAGCAGTTTACTATAACAATTTTAAACCTACTTTAAAACTTGTACAGTATTTTTAATGCAAAAATACTGGCAACCACAGCTTTCATTTCAGTTTTACTGATTTATTTACCCCCCAATTTTTTTCATTTATTTTATGGTTATTACTGTATTTTTTAGCGTAAAAATACTGGCAACCACAGCAGCCATTTAAAAAAAATAATGAAATGCGGTAGTTTACCATAACAATTTAAAATCTATTTTGGTTCATACTGTAGTTTTGGCGCTAAAATACTGGTAACCATAGCAGCCCTATTAGTTTAATTATTGAAAACAAACCTATAAATTAATGAAATACGGGTGTTTTTTTACATTGACAATACACTTACTATAGTAATAATTACATGTAACCAACCCTAACCCTTACCCACATTCTAATCCCAACCATATAGTAAGTACATTTAATATATTAGTAGACGGTTCATTTCGCTGTGGCAACCTCGGAATAGTGAATGGACTAAGCTAAAAAGAAAATGAATGAATGAATTTATCAGTAACTGCCTTAAAAAAAAGTGAAACTTGTTTTTGGTTTGGAATGTGATTTTGCTCACTTTTTGCTCAAAAAATAATAATCACTTAATTTAGATTTATTATTCCTGAAAACAAGACAATATTTTGTACTTGTCTAGACAATCTTCTTGATATAGGAGTTTTTGAATATCTGGACTAGAAACAAGGCAAAACGTATTCTTTTCAGCAAGCTGGGTGAAAAATATGAACGTGAGAGCTTATATTGTGGATTCTGCAGCACAGATGGTTATTATACAGCAACTATTTTTACAGAGAGTAGCATTAGGTTTGAGCAAAGGATAAAAGTGACATTTGAAAAGCTCATTAATTAAAAATGTTGCTTGTATCAAGTGTAATGGAACAGTTTCCTACTTGCGCAGCAGCAGCTTTGATTGTGATTTTGTTACATACATTGAGATAAATGCTGTCCTTTGATCAGACGCGCTAAACGAATGTTTAGGATAAAAACACAATGAGCTCTGAGTGAATAATTAGTACTTTATCACTCAGACAAATGAGTGTAAACTTCAGAAAAAAACATGAAAGCGGCTGCTCCAAAAAATGCTAAAGCAGTCATTTATTCCGCTTTCATTGAGACGCCCAATTAAAACTCACAAAACTCTCAGCTTTAATCAGGATGCACACACACATTCAAACAGTGTGAAAGGATTGTTTGTTTTATGTTTTGGTTGCTGTTTTATACATGACATAGATTACAAAAAACACTGCATGGACACCTTCATTTCAGTATAATAATTAACATATTAAGTAAGAGTTTCTACGGAGCCTTTATTAATAATTCGTTATAAATATATTCTTATTGCATGCCAAATGTTTGACAAAATCCAAATATGTCCAACCGCCAACTTATCCAGGTTGTGTTTTACACAGCCCTTCCAGCTGCAACCCAGTACTGGGAAACATCCATACACTCTCACATTCACACACACTCATACACTACGGCAAAATTTAGTTTCTTCAATTCCCCTATAAAGCATGTGTTTGGACTGTTTGGGAAACCGGAGCACCCGGAGGAAACCCACGCCAACATGGGGAGAACATGCAAACTCCACACAGAAACGCCAACTGACCCAGCCGAGGCTCAAACCAGCAACCTTCTTGCTGTGAGGCAACAATGCTAACCACTGAGCCACCGTGCCATTCATTATGTTCTAATAAATACAGTCATCATTTTAAATTTTACGTTTCAAATAGTCGTATGAAAATTTATAAAGAAGGCGTGGCACTAAACCCCACCCCTAAACCCAATTCTCATTGGAGGATGAGCAAATCAGAAATCTAGAATATACAAACGAATGCAGCTAAATCAAAATGCTATAAGCGTTGGATTTTTTGGATTTAATAAAAAATTCAAATAGCTTAGTACAGGAGTGTCCAAATTCTGTCCTGGAGGGCCGGCGTCCAGATTTTAGCTCTAACTTGCTTCAACGCACCTGTAAGGACATTCTAGAATGCCTAGTACAGTGGTCACCAAACTTGTTCCTGGAGGGCCGGTGTCCTGCATATTGTAACTCCAGCCCTACTCAAACACACCTGAACAAGCTAATCAAGGTCTTACTAGGTGTACTTGAAACATCCAGGCAGGTGTGTTGAGGCAAGTTGGAGCTAAACCCTGCAGGGACACCGGCCCTCCAGGACCGAGATTGGTGACCCCTGGCCTAGTAAGAGCTTGATTAGCTAGCCCAGGTGTGTCTGATTAGGGTTGGAATTAAACTTTGCAGGACACACAGGCCCTCCAGGACCGGCTTAGTACCATTTTCTCAAACTCAAGCGTTTTCAAATTTTATGAGTTTCTTTCTTCTGTTGAACATTATTCACGTTACTGACATCCACATACTACTGAAGTCGATAACATCTTTTTGTGTTTAACTGAAAAAAAAATGATTAGTTGGATTTACTACAAGATTTTAAGGTAAGTGGTTGCAAACAATTTATATGGGCTGAATTCAATCAAACAAATTAAGATTCCCAGTGATGGGTTGCAGCTGGAAGGGCATCCGCTGCATAAAACAAATGCTGGATTAGTTGGCGGTTCATTCCGCTATGGCGACTCCTGAACAACAAAGGGACTAAGCTGAAGTAAAATGAAATGAATTACTAAATTGAATTAGTTTTAATAAATTTAGCCTATATAAATTGTTTACCAACCACTTGCATTAAAACTATATATATATATATATATATATACATACATATATATATATATATATATATATATATATATATATATAAATATATATATATAAATTATATTACATACATAATTATATACATATATACATCTATATTTTTTCTTCTTTTTAATTATCTTATAACATTTTAACACATTTTTATAATTTTTATTCATTTTTTATCTATTTTTTATTCTTATTTTTATCATTTTTATTTTTATTATTTCTTTTTATTTTCTTACACTTGTCTCTTGTATTCTTGTTTATGTAAAGCACTTTGAATTGCCACTGTGTATGAAATGTGCTATATAAATAAACTTGCCTTGCCTAAATATATATATATATATATATATATATATATATATATATTTACACACAAATACTAGAATCGATGTCATCTTCAGAAGAAAGAAACTCATAGGTTTATTATATTAGATTTGTTAATATTATATAAATATTATTATTACTCCTAGATTCAGACATTGGGTTCTGTAACTTATAAAATAACACTTAAATTTAAAGCTACGGTATGTTCAAAAAAATCTTGTATCCATATATCTATATACACTGTGTGTGCACAACAGCTCAGGAAATTTTATTTAAACATATTTGCTTTATTTCAGCTAAAAAGAAAAAAGCAGGTCTAAAAATGTTTAACATTATTTTGATTTGTGGGTAAATGCAACTTTTTAAGTGCACTCCTATTATCATGCTCATATTATCATTATCAAGACCCCGAACTTGCAGGAAATCCGCGGCATTTCATTAAAAAATGTGAGATTCACAAAATTTAGCTGAGTTTGCTTGATTTTGCCATAAATTCAGCAATCACATGAAATCTTAGAGGGACTGATAATTAAAAAAAATAACAAACATGCAATAAACAAAAAATAATTAGTTTTCAATCGGAAAATGTATGTTAATTTCTATATAAATATTATTTATCAAAACAAAACCCTCTCAAAATTAAAAATGAAATAGAAAAAATATTATTACACAGCAATAAATTACATTAATGTTACTGAAATTAAAATCTCAAGAGTACGTTACAGGTGTCCGTCTCTTTTTTACCCCAAAGACCACAAGTGTAATTCACAAATAAGGAACACCAGAGAGTTAAGGTTGACTGCAGGTTACCACTTTTTGAATATACTATGAATACACCATGAAAGCCGTTGTTTAATTGGCATACCCTGTACCACATGTGGATCTGAAACGTTTGAAAGAAGAGTGTTTATTTTAGAAATGCTAATGTGACCCAGCTCACACACACACACACACACCTCTAAGGGGCTCTGAACATGTGGTCGTACACCTGTAACCGGTGAAAATACAGAGAGAGAGAGGGAGAGAGATGTCTGCCAAAAAGAGGAACTGAAGTCCTCCAGAAGACGAGAGGGGAACAATAGCATGACTCCTCCCTCTCCTTCCTCCCCCGGGACCCCCTGCCTCCTCACGCGGCCCAAGAAGGTTAATGTGCCCGCTTTGATCTCCATCAGGCCACACTGAGGAGGAATTCATTTACATTTCAGATGAAACGGGCCATGGTATAAAAAGCCATCTTGTTTCTGGTATGTGAGAGTCTGTAATGGGCTGGGAATGGGAGAGAGGAAGTGGCAGGGAACCCCAGAAACCCCCGTCTCGCTCGCCCTTCTCTCTCTTTGGGTTTGTTTTTGTTCACGAAGCATGTTTTATATTGGGTTTTAAATAAGGCTATAGTGATACAGATGTCAGTTAATGAATTTCATTATTGGTCAAGCTAAACTACAGTTGAAGTCAGAAATATTATTATTTTATTTTTTATCAAAAAACTCTTTGCCTTAGTAATGTTGGTTAATTAAAATAAAGTGGTTTAACAAATAAGAAAATCCTCATATTCCTAAATTAATTGCACAAAAATATTCAATAATTATCAATACCGAATGATATGAAACATTATATCGTGATCATTCTTTTTTTTTTGCAGTATTACCCAGCTCTAATTCACTGTTAAGTGTAATTTGTAAAATAAGGAGGCACAATCAGAGTGAAATAAAGACAAAAAAAAGAAGTACTGCAAAGAGTAGGGCTTCTTTCAGGGAATATTTGCAGAATATTGTGTTGGGAGATTGTGTACCTGACTGGATCTGCACAGCGGCCTGTTCACGCTCTCTCTTTATCAGCTTCAGATTCTGACGAGCCACGTGACCCCTCCAGGCTACACACAGATGGAGACGCAGAGATTAAATCAAAGAATAACAGTTTACGCTAGTGCGACATCTCAAGCATCATCACAGAACAGTTCTGCAACAGTGTCAGAAAGATTGATTTTAACATACAACTAAATTCGTCATCATGTTACTCATCAAAAGTTATAACAATAAATCTGTTCTAACAATAATAAAGTGTGCTTTTTGAAAGTGACTTAGCTATCATTAACAATAGAAACTGCAGTTATATTCAGAATTATTACTAAACTAAATAGTTTTAAAAACTAATTTCTGTCCCACTTTATATTAAGTGGCCTTAACTAATATGTACTTACACAGTAATTAATAGTTAGTTACAATGTACTTATTGTGTAAATACATGTATTTATTGTGTACTTATGCTTGATTAAATACCTGTATGTAATCACATTTGTAAATAACTTTTGTAATTATATTTGTAAATACACTGTTGACCATCCCTTACACTTTAACCCACCCTTAAACCTACCCACGCCACCAAACCTGTTCATAACCCAACCTCTATCCCAACTCAAGAGCACCACAAGTGTTCTCAAATACACTATGAACGCAGTAAGTACATTGTATTTATTTTTGATGCAAGTACATAGTAGTTAAGGACACTTAATATAAAGTGGGACCCTAATTTCTAATAACTGATTTTATTTTCCTTTGACATGATGACAGTGCATAATATTTGACCAGATATTCTCAAGATACTACTATTCAGCTCAAAGTGACATTTAAAGCCTTAACTACAGTAGGTTAATTAGGTTAAAGTTAGAGTAATTAGGCAAGTCATTGTATACCGATGGTTTGTGCTGTAGACAATCGAAAACGATATTGCTTAAGGGGGCTAATAATATCGACCTTAAAATGCTTTTAAAACAATTAAAAACTGCTTTTATTCTTGCTGAAATAAAACAAATAAGACTTACTCCAGAAGAAAAAAATAGTATAGGAAATACCGTGAAAAATTCCTTGCTCTGTTGATAATCGTTTGGGAAATATTTGAAAAAGAAATCCACAGGAGAGCGAATAACTTTGAGGTGACGCAGAGTGAGAATCTTAATATATCTAGGCATAGCAAAATAATAGGTGTACATAGACATGACATACAATGAGCTTTAAACACCATTGCTTCCTCATTCTCATATAAATCCATAGATATATACATTAGATGTCGCCTGGCCTATTGTTGTCTATTGGACGGAATGCGTCAATAGTGCCGCCATCTTGCTACAGGGTAGCGCTCCTTTGAAATGAATGCGGGACCATCCAAAGCCAGAGATATACACATATACACATATATCTATGATCGGGAGTTTTCCTGGATGTTAGTATGTAATTTTTTTTTTTCTAATTACGAAAATTATCATTTTACATCACTTTTCTTCATTGATGGATCAGTGACCGCACGGGCATTCCTGACAAAAAGCTTGTGTTTGTGTGTACAGAAATGTACTTTTCATCCTCCCTGCTAAATTTGATCTAATCATGTCCTGAAACACAGCTCCTCTCCTGCGTTCACTTCTCATACACTTCTCATACTGACGGGGGGAGCGATTCGTTTGTGAATGAATCCCCCGAACGACTCTTTCACTAACGTTAGGCGACAATAACACAAGTTTCTGGCAGCGCAGCATCTCGTTGTCATATTTCTTTTGCATTGTTTGCTGATTTTATCAAACAAAATTAGCATAAGCCGAGTGTTTAGAGCGAGTTGCCTTATGGTGAATGCAGTAAGTGACTGTATTATCATCAATAACGTTACCTGATTAGAACAAAAAGTCAGAACATACAAAAACAGAAAAAACTTAATATTACCTATGAAATGTTCTGCCTTTGTGCTTTGTTTTCTTTGTTTGATCGTTACTACACCCGTAGACATCGCTAAAGTCCCGCATCTTCACGTAATAACACTGTCTTGACTAGTGCGGTTGAATGACACTTGTCCTGGGAGCCCTGTACCAATGTGGCGGTGCTATTGACGCATGCTCAGGGTCCCTATGCCATATCTAGTGTATATATCCATGATATAAATCCTGTGAATGTAAATTCCTGATTAATAACAGGCCAATCAGAATAGGATCGTTTATATGCATGCCCAGGCAGCATTTGATTGGCCACAGGATTATAAGCTTAGTCAGCACAATCTTGAAAAGGCACAAGATCTGTTTAACTGTATCTTGTATTAGTTTAACGTGTATATTGTAAAATTTGCCGCGTATGTTTGTAATGAGGCAACAAACACATGTAGACTGCTGCGTATAAGTGTTTAATGGACATTTATGCATAACTCGAACCACACTCAAAACCAAGGGGTGCGAAAACATCCCAGAATAAATGTCTGGAATGGCAGTATGTGTGCAAACGGAGGTCAAGAGATGCACAAATTAGTATTTAGTATTTTAATACATTCATAGTGGTGTTTATGTTTTACATACTTTCACATCTGACACTTGATTTTCTATAATATATATATATATATATATATATATATATATATATATATATATATATATATATATATATATATATATATATATATATATAATAAAATATTTGCTTTTTTGAAATTTGCTTTATTTCGGCTAGAATAAAAGCATAAATGAATAAATAAATATATTATATTTATATATAGTTTAAATTTATTATATATTGATGAAAAAATTAAAACCATTTTAAGGTCAATATTATTAGCCCCTTTAAGCAGTATTTATTTTTATTTTTTTTTATTTACTAAACAAAACATTAATCTACAATGACTTGCGCAATTCGACATCCTTCTATAGCTCCTTTCAAACTGTCAATATCCTTTTATGGCAATTTTCAATCATTCCATATGATCAAGAAACATCAGATATTGTGAATCTCTCTGGCTGTGAGTTATTTCATTATTCTTTCTTTATTGCGTTTTCATAGGTTAGTCACAATAATCATAATATTAACTTATCATGCAATATGTGGACATGACCTCAGTATTTTTTTTATATTGCGATATATATTTAGTAATTCACTAATAACATTAAAGCCATTTTAATAAGACATTTACTTTTTACCTAATCGATGTCAAAGTTAATAATTAAACATTTAAAATTACATCAGATTACACAATCTAAACAACATTACGAATGGAAAAGCGTTAGTCTCTTAAAAAGTGTTTGTGGTTATTTGCATTACTATGCTACTGAATAATCATTGTTAAATTATAGGCATAAAATGATTTCAAAATGACAATAATATCGCTTATCGCAACAATTTTGTGACAATATATCACACAAGAAAAAATTCTTAATTGTAATAGGCTAACGCTATCCCACAGCAATTTGTAACTATTCGATTTAGTGGCTAATTCGTATGAATCGCATTCATACAATTTAGTACAATTCACTTATCTTCCAATTATGGTTGGTTTAGGGGTAGGGTTTATTACCACACCTCCTTTTTAAAATCGTACATTTTCGTAAGATTGAACTTACGTACGAATAAGCCACTAAATGGACAAAACGTAAAATATTTACGTGTCCTTGTGAGATCAGGTCTAGGTTTTAATCACCTGACTGTATGACGACTGCCCCATTGCGGCGTTTCTCTCTCTCTCTGCGGTAGCGTCGAGCGCCCAGCCAGCCCTTGGTGTAGGCTTGCATCAACACCACTCGAGCGATCACTTCCCGCAACATCAGATTGAGCTGCTCCACGTGATAATACTTCAGAAACACCTGCGCAAGATCATACCTCACGATAAACACACTGTCATCATGTGTCCCTCAGAACAAATATTCACAATCAAGAGGGTACTGACTGAAAAAATTAGGAAATAATTAATAATTTTACATTGTTTCCCAGCAATGGGTTGCAGTTGGAAGGGCATTCACTGTGTAAATAGTGAAATAGTTGGCGGTTTATTCTGCTGTGGCAACCCCTGATAAATAAGGAACTAAGCTGAAGGAAAATGAACCATACACCAGCTATAGTTGGAGTGGAGAGATAGTGATAGGGACAATTTAGTGGATGGGGATGATTGGGAGGCCGGTAAGAGCCGATGGAAGCAATTTGGCCAGGGGATCAGAGTTACACCCCTACACTTTAAGTGCCATGGGATTTTTAATGACCACAGAGAGTCAGGACCTTGGTTTAACATCTCATTCGAAAGATGGCGCCCACTGACAGTATAGTGCCCCTTTCACTTTACTAGGGCATTAGGACTCATACAGACCGCAGGTTGAGCGGCCCCTGCAGGCCTCACTAACACCTCTTTCAACAGCATCCTAGTTTTCCTATGTGGTCTCCCATCCAGGAACTGACCAGGCTCAGCCCTGCTTAGCTTCCGTAAGTAACCAGTCTTGAGCTGCAGAGTAATATGGTCTGAAATCAGGTGAATTCAGAATGTCTGCGCAAAAAGCTGAACTGCTGTAGGGGCCGTTCGCATATCTCGACTTCTCTGTGCGCAAGTTTGTTATTTCCAATGGAGGCGTGCAGCTTGCGAGCATATTAGGAGTAATGCGCTTGCACCTACTATGTGCACCCAGTTGAAAACATCTTGCACCACAAGTCAAGTGACAAGAACTAACCAATCAGCTTCATACTTTGTATGAAATATACACATTTCGGAAGACTAATTATCTCAGACAAATACAGAACACCCAAACAGTGCAGTGCTTTTTCATTTTCCCCATGAATAAAGTTTATATCAGAGTTGCAGCAATGTTTTGTCAGCTTGTCATTCTCTGAGAAAACGGTTGATGGTCGCCCGGCAATGAATGTACAACACTGCTAAATTCCAACTCCCCAAAATTGCCAAGCGTTGAGACCGGTCTGCGATAATAAAAAGGTTAGGGACCACTGCCAAAGAGGATACATTTTCATAGTAGTATTTAGTTTTGCAGTTTTGTGAACAATCCAGATAAACAGAACAACACTGATACAAACAAAGGAGACAGAAAAATAAAGCATGGATGTCAAAATAATGACGATAACTCTACCTTTGTGTTGCCCACTACCCAGTAGTCTAGTTTGGCCTTCTGCAATATAATAATGGCGTTCTCTTTACTTCCCTCTGGCATCTGATGAGCTCGAAAGGCCAGATAGTAATACCTACAGGAAAACAAAATAACCAGACTCACGTCACAAGTCAGAAGTTAGAAAAACTGATCATATTATACATGATTCGCTATATTATACCATCATTGGTTTTTAAATGCTTTAACGTAAATATATAAGGGATAAAGTACCCAATAAGTTTTTAGAGTAGAATAAAGCACAACATGAAGCTGAGCACTGTTGTTTAAGACTGAAGGGCTTTATTCTGTGGGAAACAACTATCCTGGATGTACTTTATCCTACTTATTACACAGCTATACTTGCCACAACTGATAAAACGTGGACACAAACTGTTGTTTTGAGCCATAATAGTTTATTAATTCTTTAATTAAAGGCAAAGCTGACAGAAACACAATATGCTGAGCGAAGCTGATGGAGCATACACTAACCTGCACATTATTCAGTCACCATATGACGTCAATATACCTGTCAACCCTCCCGTTTTTCCCGGGATTCTTCCATATTTTACTGTTCTATTCTGCTATCATCCCGTAAAGGTATTTTCCCGTATTTCTCCGGTATTTTCAGTCTTTCTCTGAACAACCAATCCTCCCTATACACAACACATACCACCGAACCACCAGGGGTCGCCCCTTGCTCTAAAACATAAGCTTTCAGTGCTTTTGCTTAGTTTAGGAATGAAAACTCTTATAAATAAATATTAAACACGACGTGATTCCATTTCCTTTTGATTACAGCTGCCGTCGCCCATCCTATACAGTCCTCTAAACAGTCATATAATAGTGCGTGACTGTCAGCTGACGTGCTCCATAGTGATAAATAGACGTTGTTTGCCAAACGGATTCTATACTCGCGATTTGAAGCGGAGAGAAAGTCTGGCTTTTGGGTGCGTGTTTAAGCACACATACACACATAATTAATAATAATAACAGAAACATGTCGATCTTGGTGGGTTTTTTTCCCAAACACAACTAATTTCGTCTTAAATGAGCATAAAAAGTTTTAAAAAGCAGTCGAATGCTTTCACTTTAACGTTAGATGTGTGCATTTTCAAAGTGATAACTTTTTATTATTTAATGTAATAAAAAATCTTAATATATTAATATTAATATTAATATTAATATAAATATAATAAATGAGAGATTCGTTCGTTGCTCTTTAATCAGAATGTGTAAGTTATACAGTGGAGAAACGGATGATGAGATTGATAGCTTGATTCTATTTTAATATAATAGCTATTCATTTTAATAAGCTGAACTGTTTGCTAATGTGTTTGCTTATAATGTAAATATTTATTTTTCTTTTGCTAATATTAATTTTAAAACATATAACTGACCATTTAACTGTTTATTTACAATGAAACAGCTCCAAATGAACACATTTAGCAATTTGGGGATTATTTGAAGGGAGGGGTGTGGGGGGTGTTGGGGGAATCCCTTATTATGGTGGGCATATCCCTTATTTTCACATTCCAATGTTGACAGGTATGCGTCAATCAGTCAGAAACGCAAAGCTGACAGAAACTAAACCTGTTGAATATCAAAGACTAACCAACTCAATTCATTCACAAGGCAGCGTCAAACAGTCAAACATAGTTTTCTATAAAACCAATTGGGAATTGGAGGGTGTGTGACATCTCAGCATGAACACACAGCACCGTCTCACTAAGTCTCATGAATTAAAGTTTACTATTGGGATATTGTAAGAACATAGGTCAGCAGATATATATATATATATATATATATATATAAAACACTGTTCAAGTGGTTTTTGACCATTGTTATGGCCGAAGAACAATAAAAATGGGCAAAACAATTATTTTAGCTACTTTACATCATGTATATTACAGACTTGGGGATTGTGGCATGGGTTAATAAAAAACAACACCACAGAACACCAAGTAAATATTATTTTCAGAAATAAAGTGGTCACCAACCTTGTTCCTAGAGGGCTTAGTCCCTTTATTAATCCGGGGTCGCCACAGCAGAATGAACCGCCAACTTATCCAGCAAGTTTTTACGCAGCGGATGCCCTTCCAGCCGCAACCCATCTCTGGGAAACATCCACACTTACATTCACACACACACTCATGCACTACGGACAATTTAGCCCACCCAATTCACCTGTACTGCATGTCTTTGGACTGTGGGGGAAACCCGAGCACCCGGAGGAAACCCACGCGAACACCGGGAGAACATGCAAACTCCACACAGAAATGCCAACTGAGCCGAGGCTCGAACCAGTGACCCAGCGACCTTCTTGCTGTGAGGCGACAGCACTACCTACTGCGTCACTGCCTAGACATATATACAGTATATAAAATATAATATCTATTAAATTTGTCTGTTTTCCAGTGCTAGGTTGCAGCTGGAAGGGCATCCGCCATGTAGAACATTTGCCAGAATAATTGGTTCATTCCATTGTAGCGACTCCTGAAAATCAGGGACTAATCCAAAAGATGGTGAGTATTATTATATGAAATATTTAGATTTATGACCAGAATTCTTGCTACATTTTACAGAGGTTCAATGGTAATAATGATTATGATATCCTGGGAAGAAAAAAACCCCTCTCCTGACTCCAAATCCAGACCTCATCAGTTATGCAGTCAAAATGACATTATTCCGGGTGTTCCTGTTGGACTGCAGGAATGTTATTAGATTTAATTAGCTGGAGCTCTTGGGCTTCATGAAAAGAAGGGGAAAAGACAGACAGACAGACAGTTAGAGAGATCAAAGCCCTCCATGTTGAATATACTCACCTCCTCCAGCGCTCCCTAGAGCTCCCGGCAAACTCACACCGCAGGTTTATTATCTATGTGTTTTGACAGTACTGAAAGAAGCCCATAATCTCATCAATAATAGGTCATTAAGCCTCTGAGAATACAAGTGATGCTAAATTAGACTCTGGTTGAGTAATTAGCGGTGAAGTGGTTCATACTTTGAAGGGGCGGAGAGAGAATCGGGCTGAAAGTTTCTCGGCGGCGAGCAAATTCATGGTCCAAATTTACTTTTTCCGAGGCTTGGGGAATCGGTAAACTTTTCTCTTTCTTGCGCTTTTTCTTTCAACCCATCCATCTCTTTCTCTCGTGGGCCGCGAGATGGTGGACATGTAGGTCATCTCTTTTACATAAACATCCCAGACAATTTCTCCATGCTCAGAGGGGCTCAGGCTCTCTCCCGCTTTTTTCTCCCCCCGTCATCCTTTTGATCACAGAAGTGTCCTGATTATCCGTATTTTCCCCGGCCAGTTCGCATAAAAAATGAAATACTCTGTGACTGTTCTGTTTGCGTAGTCCAACACATTCTTCGCTCAACCAGGACTACTTCTTGTCCTTTTGTGATGCTCCTGGTACTCATTTGGCATTGTTTTACGACGCGCTGGGTCCTCCAATGCTTTTGGTAATTCGTATTAAACGTCCCATTAAACCAGGGGTCACCAATCTTTGTCCTGCAGAGTTGGGTTTCAACTCGCCTCAACACTCCTGCCTTGAAGTTTCAAGTATACCTAGTAAAACCTTGATTAGCTTCTTCGGGTATGTTTGATTAGGATTGGCACCAAACTCTGCAGGAACAAGTTTGGTGACCCTTGCATTAAACAGTTTTGCATTTGCATTTTTTTGCATTTGTGGATGTAATTACATATTGTGGAATTGGACAAAGGTTCGCCAAAGTAGCCCTGACCTCATGTGGAGATATCGCTTATAGATGATTGAGGATTCTTGATGCAGCGTCATGTGAGAAACCTGAGATCACAGTTGCTCAGCTTAGGCTTGTGTAACAGGGTTATATTGGATCTCTCCACTTGCATACATTAAAATACTAAAGAGAAGGAAGGGGTTAACATTTATTCATTGTTTTACATGTAGAGCGCCTCCTCTGTTACCTAAAAAGAAAGGAAATTCATTGTAGTATGTAGGAGGAAGCCATTGCACGAGGCTGGTAGATTAGATCTGTGCTCATTTTTCTGTTCTAACTGTTTTCACAATAATAAAATCGATAAAAGATATATCAGAGTGAATATTTATTTACACAACGCAGAAGAGACGCAAAAGACTAGTTACATTGGTGCCGTGACCCGGATGGGAGTGAGGTTTAGGGGGGTGAGTGTAACAGAGCCAGCTAGTGAAGTGCTGTGCAGGTAAACCTCACTCCTCTGACCTCTAAAGGTGCTCTAGCGACTGATGCTAGAGGCCATGGTCTTTAGCCTCCTTGTTAGAGCAACCGACTCCCATGCGGAAGGTCGCCGGTTCGAAACCAGTTCGGAGCGGATTGGGTGGCGTAGGACGGGCAGGGTTACACTTGCACCCTTGTCTTTTATGCACTGAAATTTCTCCAGATTCCTTGTAGATTTTATTTGTGCTGTGGACTGTTGAAGGTGAAATATCCTAATGTCTTCCTATCTTTCTTTGAGGAACATTGTTTTTAAACATTTCAATCATTTTCTCACGTGTTTGTTTGCAAACCTTTCTTGGATGCTGCTTTTGTACTAAATCATAATTACAATCACCTGTTGATATCACCTGTTTCACATCACATTATTTAACCAGTTTATCTGATTGAAGCCCTAAACTGCTTCTGTCCCAACCTTTGCTGGAAAGTGTTGCAGGTCTGAATGACAGGAAAGGATGTATATTTATAAATGAAATGAAGTTGACCAGACAGAACATAAAATATTTAGGGCTCTATTTTGACGGTCCATGCGAAGAACGCAAATCGCAAGGCGCAAACGCTTTCAGGGCGTGTCAGGCATTTTTGCTAATTTAAGGACGGGAAAATCCGCTTTGCGCCGTGGCGCATGGTCTACAAGGGTTGAGTTTATTTTCTTAATAAGTTACAGGTGTGTTTTGAGAATAAACCAATCAGAGTCTCATCCCCCATTACCTTTAAGAGCGTCATGCCATAAGTGCATTCGCTATTTACAGGACGTAAAGTAAGTTCACATTCACTTTTGCTCTCGTGGATAGGGAAACCTTAACGCACAGACATCAATTAGCCTATAAATAATTAATTTTGTTTGTTAAGCGCAAAGATTTGTTTCAAAACTATTTCTAAATTCAGTTCTAATTTCCAGCAAACAAATAAATGAACAATAATAACAAAGCGTGGTCAAAATACTGAGTCATTTCCAAATACACCTGCTATGCCCCATATGGTCTAAAACCTGCAGGTGGACAAATCTAAGCTTGTTTTTAATAAAACAAATATAAATATGGATATAATAAATAATACTGCTAATAATAATAACATTATACAAAAGCAAATCGAATGAACTAAAAAAGCCTCCCGAGATGAAGAAAGTAAGGCAGTGGTATTTAAATTCATGTAGGCTAGAAAATAATATGTTTTGTAATATTTTAATCATTTATATTTATATCTTATATATATCCTTATAATATATAACCTTAATTTATTATATCTTTTTCATATTTAAAGATATTTGCGTATTGCATCTTGTGTGTAGTGTGTAAGCCAGGCGCACTAGACCAGACAATAGACCGACTTTGTTCAGGTCTAAAGAACAGACTATTTACAGTTTCTCAAAATAGCAACGTGCCAAAACACGCCTGCTTTTCTAGACCAGAACGCCTATGGGCGCACATTTGAGCGCATATTCATTTGCTATTTAAACAGCGTGGCGCAACACCTCAAAATGACCCTTGCGCTGAGCTTAAAGTAGCAAAAGACTATTGCGCCGCGCCTTGCGCCACATTGCGCCGGGTGTATGATAGGACCCTTAGTGTTCATATTGTCCGCAATGAAATGAAACAAAAGTTGGGACAGGATCAATTTAGGGCTAGTAATCAGTTAAATTGGTTAAATAATTATGAGATTTGAGTACATTTTTATTTGTGGCCAATTTAAAGCAGCAGTCCACACTGGCTCCATATAAAAAAAGCAAGATCTTTATGGATTCAGATGGATCTTTTTGGGAAATCTTCCCTGATGTCGTGAAGGAGCGCTCTTTGTATTTTCTAGCAGAGACATAGCAGCTATCAGGAGCACGATTATGAAAGAGTGCAGTTCAAGTGGAATCAAAGGCAGTATTCCCTCTTAAACATAAAGGCTGATATCTTCCTCTTCAGAGGCTGTAAATACCCGGGATCAACCACAAGCTTTAGATGTTTCCAAGAGACTCGTTTATGAGATTCATGCCAAGTAGTAAAACCGAAAGCCCCCCCAGACAATAACAACAAGGCAACAATGGCCCCATATTCACTGATTTATCAGACAATCAGGTAACGCTTTACTTCTCTGTCCAAAACGTCAAAGGTTTCTCTAGCAGAAAGTTGCTATCATTAAAATATCTTGAGAGATCTGAGAGATAGATTTTCTGGTTCCTTTCAAAGCAGTCCTAAAGGTGAGGTGTGTAAAATCTTGTCCACCAGCAACACCAAGCTAAAATAATAAGTGGGCATGTTTACTATGTTGCGGTAAATTAAGTAAATTGTGTGAAGCTATGAAGCTAAAGGTAATTATGTTATTGAAGGAACACTCTAAATTTACACTTAAAAAAATGCTGCTATAGTCAAGCTACTTATTTAAAGTAAAACGACACTATTCTTAAGTTTTTTTGGGGGACAATTTATTAAAACTTATTTGTTTTCTGTTTAATCCACTTAAATTTGTGAAAACTAAAAAGCTAACTCAATTCCTTCATGTTGTCCCAACACAAATCGATTGTGTGGAACCCAGCATATTTTAGAGTGTAGTGTTATATTTAATTATAAATTTATAGCACATCCTAGAGTTGCGCGATATTGGAAAAATGTGACACATTGCGATATCAATGTTAAAACAATATATTATGCACTAGTATATCCCGTTTTAAATATGTACATTACTAAGTGAATATACTGTATATAATACAATTTGCTGCATTTAACCAATCAGTTTTTATTAAAGTAGAATAGAAAGATAATCCATTTCAGTTTCATTATTTATTACAATGCAAATTACAAACTACAAAATTTCAACTAAATATTATATTCTTCATGTTTCGCTTGATTTTTCCTCTAAACTTAAATTATATTTATTAAATATTATAAATTATATTTATAAGAAAATTATATTATTATAATTTAAAGTATATATATATATATATATATATATATATATATATATATATATATATATATATATATATATATATATATATATATATAGTGCTCGGCATAAATGAAAATATGAAATGAGTATTTCTCATTTTAAAAATGTACATTTCTTAGTGAATAAAGAAAATAAATTTCGGTGCATTTACGCATCAAGTTTTATTTAACAGCTAAATTCATTAAAATAAGAGTTTGGTCACCAAATTTAATTAGGAATAAAAATATATTACATTTAAATTAAAATCACAAAACAAATTACAAACTACAAAATCTTAACCAATAAATGTTACATTTTTTTTTTTACGTTTCTCTCGATTTTTCTTTTAAATTAAAGTTGCATTTAATATTTCTTCCCCAACATATTCATTTGGGTGTACTATTTTTTGGACTGTGATTTTAAAAATTATATTTGCTATTTGTTTGAACTACTTATTTAAAATAAACTGAGACACCACAATTATTGAGGCTTTTTTGTGTTTTACGTTCAATCCACCTAAATTTGCTAAAACTAATAAGCTAACTTGATCCCATCTTGTTATCCCAACACAAATCAATTGTGAAAAAGCCAGAATTTTTCAAAGAGTAGAGTTATATTTATTTAGCAGTTAATATATATAAAATTCATTAAAATAGGAGTTGGGTCACCAAATTTAATTAGGATTTAAAAAGATAATACATTTAAACTAAATTAGATTTTTTTTTTTTATTTCCCTTGATTTTATTTCTCTAAATTAAAACGTTATTTAATATTTTTTCCTTAACATTAATTTGGGTGTACTATTTTTTATTTTTATTTTTTATTTTTTTTAGACCATGATCTTTAAAAAGCTATTTTGTTTTTGTCTTCGGCACTAACTAAATCTACACTCTAAAAAAGGGCGTTTGCTGTTTGTTCAAACTACTTACAGTATTTAAAATGAGCTAAAACTAAGTTCTTAAGGCTTTTTGTGACAACTTAATAGTTTTATGTTTAATCCACTTTAATTTGCTAAAACTAATAAGCTAACTTAATTCCTTCATGTCGCCCTGACACAACGTATCTTAAACCAGTGTCATATTGACGTCAAATGCTGACAGTTATTCATCAGGTATGGCAACCACATTCCAGCGTCTGATAGACGCCATAGTGGTAATGTCTACACAATGTCAAGCTGTAACATCATTAGACGTTGATATTTGGTTGATTTTAGGTTGGACGTTGATCATTAAAATCGAGCTGACATTGGGTTCTGACGTCAACCTGATTTTCATTTCCAAACAAAATGCAACGTCCCCACGACGTTGGGGTCAATCTGACATCACGTTGACGTCCTGTGCCTGCTGGGTACACTGAAAAAAATTATCCAAAGATGATTCCTTGGATTTACTCATTTTTTTAATGTTAAGGGGTGGTAAACAATTTAATTGTGTTGAATTTAAACAAACAAATTAAGTTGAACATTATTCAATTTAATTTGATTGTTTAAATTCAACACAAATTAATTGTTTGCAACAGTTCTGCATGCAACACTTTTTTCAAGCACCGCAAAATTAAAAGATTTATTTTTTATCTACAACCCTTAACTGGAATCAGCTTTTATGATGCATCAACTGCTGAACTCCACTCGACTCTCAGTGAACTGTCAGTCTTTTTCTCAGGAAGTCGTGTTGTTCCTAATCTCTCTCATTAGCAGTCTGTGTTTTGTGTGATCTTTATTGTTCTCCTCGAGCCCCGTGGGACAAGCGTAAACAACCCATTCGATGAGCGCTCTGTTACTTTGTGGCTGTTTCATACCTGTTTACGAACTCCTGGATGAGGATGCGGTGGGAATAGCCCTGTCTGCGGATGTTGACGGTCTCCAGGATGCCGGTGTAGCGCAGCTGAACCATCACACGCTCTTTATTGAAGCGCAGAGCCTGTCGGTCGTCATTAGGTTTGATACAGCGCACGAAATGAGGTGTCCCGACCACCATCTTGGACAGCAAGTCCATAAGAGAGTACTGAAAGACAAAACACAAACCTAATCATTTTTTTGAATGCTATAGGCAGATTTGAGTCTTGTGTCTCTGACCGGGACACACCACCCTGCTGAAAAATCAGGCTGGCAAATGACCAGCTAAATCCAGCTAAAACCAGCTTGACCAGCCTGGTTTAAGCTGGACATAGCTGGTTATGGCTGGACTCCCAGCTTGGCTAGGCTGGTCAAGCTGGCTTCAGCTGGTCATGTCCCAGCCTGACCAGCTAAGACCAGGCTGGAAATGACTGGAAACCAGCCTGGAAATGGCCAAAACCCCTCTAAAACCAGCCTGGTCGACCAGCTTAAACCAGCCAACCAGCCTAGTCTGGTTTAAGCTGGATTTTTCAGCAGGGCAAGCTGACAGTTGGCTATTGATAGATTTCAGTGGTGTTGGGCAGGCTCCTTTAATAAAAGTATTATATTGTGTAATTCTGTCTGAGTAATAAGGGTTTGTGGTGGAGAAAAATCACTTTTTATTTGCTTTGACATCGTGGCGTCATCTCCTCCTTTGGTAGTAGAGCTTACGTTATCTCCTGCGTAGCCACTAACTTTGTGGCAGCAAGTGACGGTGTGAGGTGCTTATTCAATGGAAGAGTATCAACAGTTTTGTCCACGTCTGTATACATGCACATTTTTCTACAATGTGACTTGCCGAGGACTCACCCTGAAATAAGACGCCACTGTCTGTCTCCTCATGTTAGTGGTTTCTTCAGGGTGACGCATCATTTCCATGGTGTCCACCTAAACACACACAAACACACTTACTGTAGCGTTTCTGCACCGCCAATACACACATACAGTACTTCTACAGTCCTGGTTTTATTCTGTACCACCTGTCCTGCATTTTAGGGAACAGTCCCAAAATTGGGAGCTTTGTTTCATCTGCTGGATGGCATAAGCACTCAAGAAATGAATCACAATGAAGTGTATCATTAACTGTATGTAACTTTTTAATTTTATTTAATATGTCCGTTTTTTTAAATGTCTGTAAACATGGAATACTATTAGATTAAATCAGTTAAAACATATAAATATGGTATAAATACAGTCTTATGCAATAATTTGGGCACCCCGCTGTGGCCGCAAAATAATGTGCTCTTTCCTTATAAGAGAAGATCAGTGAAATGCCATATAATGTGGCAATAAGATCGTAACCGTGCTGTGCATTTACACCGTGGCCACCGTGGCCATATTCATACAACATAGCAGACACTGTAAAATTGGTAATTCCCAGCCATTAGACTCATCTGACAGGGTATTCGAGTGCCACCGAGTGTCAGAATGTTGTAGGACTGCTATACAAGAGTTATTATTAGGGATCATAGATAGTGAAGTTTTTTATTTTAGAGTTTGTTTGTTTTTTAAACATGGCGGTAAAACACAAACTCCGTTATGAATATTAAAACATGCTTATTTGTTGTAAAAATGTATAATAAACGACAAAAATACTAATTTGAGCATCTCCTGACTCCTGTGTGCAGCCCTGCTGCCCTTGTAGATGGAATAATCTGGGAAATTTTCCTACTCCTTGGTTTCGAATGTGGTCCTGAAAAATCTCTGTTTCAAGGGGTATCTAGCCCTTCTCCTTAGCCCTACGCCAGGGGTCAGCAACCCGCGGCTCGTTGCCCTTGTGGCTCCCTGGAGCTTTTTAAAAAATGTTTGAAAATGGAAAAAGATGGGGGAGGTTAATATATTTTTTTGGTTTAATATGATTTCTATAGGAGGACAAACATTTTAACGTTTTCAAATGCTGTCAAAGTGTGTAGAATTAATATTTAATTTCAACATTTCTGTTAGCGAAGATTTGCGTCATAGCCTGCGACACACGTTTCTATCAGCAGGGTGGGATGCCAGGCAGGTGGCTGTTGTAAACAAACCGGGAGATAATAAAGCATGGAAATCCGTTCACAGATGGCGACTACATGAAGGAGTCATTCATCAAAATATTAGAACACCTATTTGCAGAATTCAAAACCAAGATAATACAAAAAATTAAAGACATACCTCTCTCCGCTACGACAGTAAAGGAAAGGGCTATTAAAATGGCAGGTAACATCACCGATCAGCAAACCAAGGACATTAATTCAGTGCCCGCATACTCAATTGCCTGTGATGTGACCGCTATTAAACGCGCAGGTATGTGAAGTCCGATGGGCCGCAAGAAGAAATGATCAAATTAATACCACTGAAAGACCAGAGGCTGTGCTGTGTAAATAAACACCAACCACCGGATTTCAGTGGCTATTTAATCGTGAAGGCTCATTATGTATTTTTAGCCAACTTAGTCATTTTTATAGTAGGCTAATATAGCTAATATAGATACATACAGCATGCGCTTCCTTCATTATAAGGTTATATAAGGCTTTACATTTTTTGCGGCTCCAGACATATTTGGTTTTTTTGGTCCAATATGGCTCTTTCAACATTTTGGGTTGCCGACCCCTGCCCTACGCCTTCAAGCTAAAGGGAATTGGGTCATCCCTACCCCTTCACGTAAACAGGGGTAGGGCTAAGGGGTAGAATTGGGATTAGGCCCAAATAATCACGCAGGGAGTTAGATTTAGTTTAGTTACTTTAGCGCCGCCCGCGTCCCTTCTGCTAGCTCTCTTGTTTTTCCCGTCTTTATTTGTCTCAGTGTTGTATATATTGTAAATATTATATTTTTGCCTTACTTACTTGTTCTTTATTTTTGATTAATTCGTTGTTGTTGTTCACTTTGGGATTGTAAATAAAAGCACACATTTTTTTGGCATTACTTTGGTTGTCTTTCCACTCATTCACTGTTTATATAAATATATTTTAATTAAATAAATGTCAAACCCCACAATCCTAGACTAACATCAGGGGTTTGTAACACTCCTGAAAACACACAACATTAAAAATCACACATTTGACCTTTGTCTAACAGGGAAAACCACCAAAAATCAAGAATGCATGATTATATGGTGTCATGGCTTTGCGTTTAAAAAATGTAGTTATAATGGAAGTAAATAGGGGAAAAACAACCACCAACATAACAAAAGGATAGTCAATTTACCAGAAGTGTACACTGCAAAAAGTGAAAACTTAAACAAATGACTTCGACTTGTTACAATTAAATGAATTAAGTTTGACAAACTTAATTTATAACAGTTTTCAGTAATAAATTAAGTTAATTATCTTAGGTGTTTTAGTTTTAGGTTTTAGCTATTTATTTTAGAAAACAAGAATGGAACAGTACACACAGTACAGTCATTTAATATAATATTGTAAATATAATAATAATAGTAAAAACTACTTTTATTAAAGTAATTCCCTTCCCTTGTTAATATAAAAATAATACTTTAATGTTTTGAGGCAAATACAAGTATTGCTCATTATTGATATTGAACAATACTAATACTTGCCATAAATATCTTACTGAAACATGTTACACCTTCATTACTGAAATAACATGATATTCATTACTGAAAACTGTTATAAATTAAGTTTGTCAAACTTAATTCATTTAATTGTAACAAGACAAAGTAATTTGTTTAAGTTTCCACTTTTTACAGCGTATTGTTGAAATTTCAAAGCATTTTCCTAAAATAGGTGTCAAAATGTGATTTGCCACCAAAAAACATTCCATTTGCTGAAACACAGAGAAAGTTGTGGCCAAATCAAGCCTCAAAACTGGATGAAAACATCCCCAACTGCACACAAGAGTTAAAACATACACAATCCCAGCACACACTCCTGAGCACGAAAGATGTAACGCTGCAAGGATGTTTTCAAAATGAACTTCTAGCTTCCAACTGATCTTAACAAGGACAAGACACGATGTGTATAACAGCCATTTCTACAACAGGCCTCATGAATTTATCAAGGGGATGCATAATTTAGAGTAGGTCTATAGCAGCAAAGTGTGTCTTAATATTCTATTTCATCTGAGTGCGAGAGGCAGGTGTGTGTCTGTGATCTTCGAGAAGAAAACGCTGGAGAAACTGAAGGGTTGGACAAGCACCATTACCGAGACACAATTCAACAAACCCAGTGTTTTAACAAGACATCTGTCCCACTTCTGCTAACACGCGCACAACTCTGTAACGCATCTCATCTGTGTGTGAAGCAGTTTAAAAGTATCTGCGATATTAATTGGAAGCGATTAATTGGGTTCTGTGCGCCGGCATCTAATTATGTTTCTCTGATACAGCAGGTAGTCAGCGAGACTGTTTTAATCTTACGCAAGGAACAGAAAAAGAAGGGAGAAATAATTATCTAGAGTTTTCCTTTATGCGAAGAGCAACTAATGTAGGTGCAGCTTCACAAAGTCCTCGAACTGTGCAAGACTGAATGAAGTTGAATTCAAAAATAACCTCTCGCACTTTTTCTTGCAACCAGGACAGGTTCTCCCTTTTTAAAGACATTCATTCATTCATTCATTTTCTTGTCGGCTTAGTCCCTTTATTAATCCGGTGTTGCCACAGCGGAATGAACCGCCAACTTATCCAGCAAAGTTTTTACGCCGCGGATGCCCTTCCAGCCGCAACCCATCTCTGGGAAACATTCACACACACACTCATACACTACGGACAATTTAGCCAACCCAATTCACCAGTACCGCATGTCTTTGGACTGTGGGGGAAACCGGATCACCCGGAGGAAACCCACGCGAACACAGGGAAAACATGCAAACTCCACACAGAAACACCAACTGAGCCGAGGTTCGAACCCGCAACCCAGCGACCTTCTTGCTGTGAGGCGACAGCACTACCTACTGCGTCACTGCCTCGCCTTTTAAAGACAATTTGATGAAACTATAAACTACATTTTAGGATGAGATGCATCATTATTTGGTCCTAAAAATAACTATTAACATTAAGTGGATTGAACATAAAACAATTAAGTTGTCCCCTAAAAACCTCAAGAATTGAGTTGTTTCGGCTCATTTTAAATAAGTCATTTGAACAAACAGCAAACGTCATTTTTTTGTGTAGTATGACCCCTTAAAAAACTGAAAGTAATAAAGACAGAAATACTGGGAGAGCGGTTTATAGTTCAGATGAAAACTCTGATGTTTAATCTGCAATTGCCTCTCTGGATATACCACTAACCTAACCCCCCCCAAAAAATACTAATACTTTCCTTCTTAGACTTTACAGACCTGACACTTGCCTATAGCACTTATTCATTGTTGCTCTTATAATTGTGTAAATTGCTTTTCTTGTCCTCATTTGTAAGTCGCTTTGGATAAAAGCGTCTGCTAAATGACTAAATGTAAATGTAGATGTTTATGGTAACAATTAAAATCCCTGTTGATGCAACTTGACGCTGTTGAAAGTTGTAGCAATTACATAGTTTAACCAATGGGTGGCGACAAACAACCATCAAAAAAATTGCCACTGAATGGTTCTTCAAAAGGCGACACAGTGGCGCAGTAGTGCTGTCGCCTCGCAGCAAAAATGTCGCTAGTTCGACCCTCGACTGGCTCAGTTGGCGTTTCTGTGTGGAGTTTGCGTGTTCTCCCTGCATTCGCGTGGGTTTCCTCCGGGTGCTCCGGTTTCCCCCACAGTCCAAATTGGGTGAATTGGGTAGGCTAAATGTCCATACTGTATGAGTGTGAATGAGTATGTGTGTGGATGTTTCCTAGAGATAGGTTGCGGCTGGAAGGGCATCTGCTGCGTAAAAACGTGCTGGATAAGTTGGCGGTTCATTCCGCTGTGGCGACCCCGGATTAATAAAGGGACTAAGCTGAAAAGAAATGAAATAAATGAATGAATGGTTCTTCAAAACTGATACAGCTAGTAATGAAGTAAATTATTGAATCATTTATAAATGAGACTGTGGAGAGGGGGCGAGGCCGAGAGCCGTGGAAACAAAATGAGTCTTGCGGAGGAGCTCTGGATTATAAGAGGAGGAGTGACGACAGAGGAGGACAAGAGAGGTCCAGGCCCGGATGTTGTGTTTTTCTTCAGTTCGACAGTAGTCTCTCTGTTTTAAATAAGTCGTTTGAACAAACAGCAAACGTCATTGTTTTGTGTAGTATGACACCTTAAAAAACTGAAAGTAATAGATTGTTTTGTTCCGATTAAACCAGAAGAAAAAAACACAACAAAGCAATAAAATGACCTCAGAAAATATGAAACAGAAGAATATAAGAAAGAAGATATAAAGAACACCTCTTACCTTTAACAGGTATTTAGGAGACTGAGAGGAGAGAGAACAGTTCAGACAGACAGAAAATGTACAGAGCAATGAAGAACAGGAGTATTTTACAATGAAAACAAGACACAAGAGTCTTAAGAGATTCTGGAGCAAATGCATTGGAAAAAATAACTACATCACAAGCATCACTAGGTGCAATAAATTCATTCAGCTTACATTGCAACATGCGTATGTTAAGTGAATGGCATTTATGTATGATGACCTTCTGAATGTAAAGACTAGCACAGACCTTATTTCTTCCGCTGTTGAGTTGCGGAGGCAGAGATCTGGAGGCTGCTGTCACTCTTGCTCTGGATGTGGCCAGATTACCTGCTCAGCAAAAGAAGAAACGCATCAGTGGCACATCAATCCTTCTTGGCTGAAGCACAAATAAATAAAACAACATGGTAGAAGAGCGCTCTGGGCTTGCAAGCCAAAAGAACGTATGTTTGAACCCTGGAGGAGATCCACGAAAAGCCTGGATTTCAATTACAAAGACTATGATCTTGATCAAGAGCCTCAACGCCAGACTGCTCTACTCTTATAAATAAACATTTGCAATAGTAACCACAATAGTAACTAGGGGTGTAACTGGTCACAGTTGATAAAGGATCTGCACAAAATGTAAATGACCAGTGGATTAATAACTTTGTTCGTTCATTCATTCATTTTCCTTCGGCTTAGTCCCTTATTTATCAGGGGTGAATTTAATTGACAACTAATCCGGCATACGTTTCGCGCAGCGGTTGCCCTTTGAGCCCAACCCAGTGGTGGGAAACACCCATACACTCTCGCATTCACCCACGCATATATACACTACGGCCAATTTAATTAATCAATTCCCTATTAGCGCATGTGAGGGAAACTGGAGCACCCACCACGGCACCACGGAAATGCCAATTGACCCAGCCGGAATTTGACCCAGCAACCTTCTGTGCTAACCACAGAGCCATCGTGCCACCCGGATTAATAGCATAAATTTGTAATGATCGCAGAGAGCATTGAAAACATTTTTTCCTGTAAAATATAATGATGATGAAAGGAGTTGCGGAGGTGTAACGGAGGCCAGCTAGTAAGTGCTGTGCTGGTAAACCTCACTCCTCTGACCCCTAAAGGGGCTCTAGCGACAGATGCTAGACGCCATGGTCTTTATCCTCCTTGGTAGAGCAACCGACTCCCATGCGGAAGGTCGCCGGTTTGATACCAGCTCGGAGCGGGTTGGATGGTGTAGGACTAGCGGCGTTACAGAGGCACCTAAACGCTGTCTTAGGTTATTAAAAGGTGTTTTCTATCACTACTTGTTTAGCCTCTTTAAAAAATGGGGACCTCAATTCAAACACCCACACAACCTAAATTATAAATGATGATGATGATCTGCATATGTTTATTGGTCTTTCAATGCGCTGCATTCAAATTTGTGTATGAGCGAGAAAGAGATTCAGTTTTACATTTTACAGATATTTACAAAGTTACAAACAATCAAATAAGACAGAAATACTTGGAGAGTTGTTTATAGTTCAGATGAAAACACTGATGTTTATTGTAATAACTAAAATCCCTGTTGATGCAACTTGACGCTGTTGAAAGTTGCAGCAATTACATCGTTTAACCAATGGGTGGTGACAAACAACCATCAAAAAATATGCCACTGAAAATGTTCTTCAAAAGGCGACGCAATGGCAAGAAGCAAGAAGGTCGCTGGTTCGAGCCTCGGCTGGGTCAGTTGGCGTTTCTGTGAGGAGTTTGCATGTTCTCCCTGCGTTCACGAGGATTTCCTCTGGGTGCTCCGGTTTCCCCCACAGTCCAAAGACATGCAGTACAGGTGAATTGGGTAGGCTAAATTGTCCGTAGTGTATGAGTGTGAATGGGTGTGTGTGGATGTTTCCCAGAGATGGGTTGCGTCTGGAAGGGCATCTGCTGCGTAAAAACCTGCTGGATAAGTTGGCGGTTTATTCCGCTGTGGCGACCCCGGATTAACAAAGGGACTAAGCTGAAAAGAAAATGAATGAATGAATGGTTCTTCAAAACTGATACAGCTAGTAATGAAGTAAATTATTGAATCATTTATTATAAATGAGACTGTGCAGAGGGAGCGAGGCCGAGAGCCGTGGAAACAAAACGAGTCTTGCGAAGGAGCTCTGGATTATAAGAGGAGGAGTGACGACAGAGGAGGACAAGAGAGGTCCAGGCCCGGATGTTGTGTTTGTCTTCAGTTCGATAGTAGTCTCTGTGAGGAGCTGCCGTATGTTTTTTTTTTTTTTTAGTAAATTCTTTAAATTTCGTTGGTTTTCTGACTTTTTTCTGACGGTCCGGAGGTCAAATCATTACATTGGCGAACTGTGAACCTACACTGGTCTCACAGTTCGTTTACGATTATCATGCTACCGATTCGGTTCAATTCAATATTTCGGTGCACTGATGATGCTTTTCATGCACAGTTTTATATTTTCTTCACAGCAGAATTCTTCTATTAAAATGTGTGAATATATTTATATTTTTAAACTATTTGTAATGCAATTTTGTTATTTAATACAAAAAGTCAGACATATAAACTGTACCTTTAAACAACACGAGCATTTAGAAAATAATATAAACAAATATAAATACCCCGCTCACTTTCTGATCCTTGTCTAGTTCTCTTACACCCCTTTGATTGGTCACACCCTCAACAAAAAAGGCTGCGATTGGCTCTTGAGCGCTGAGATTTTCACAGATGAGTAACACTGATACGCTGCAGGGGCGATCACAGCTGATCCATGATAGACACGGTGGAGAAAACTCTGCAGGCACGCGCTCGTGTCTGTATCCAGAAGTATCACTGTATAACAGCCGAGAGGAGAGGAAAAGTAACGCCAGCAGGTCAAATGAGCCACAGTGAATGAGTGAGAGAGAGAGAGAGATGGAGAAGGGAAATGGGGCTTCTGCTGTGTCCGTGAAAGACTGATACAGCAAACACACACAGTGAAATTGTGCACAGTTTCTGCGTTTTTAAGTAGTTGAAGCGTAAATACTCGCGCTCGCCTTCCTCACAGAAGTAAGCTATGGCGACATAGCGCATATGAGATAAGTGTTGTCAATACATAATAACCGGTTATGATTATTACTGAACCGATACCGAATTGTCCGCGTCTGCATCGCAGAAACAATTAACTATGACACCCCTATTGCATTGGTGCCGAAATTTTCCCATTGATGGGTTGCAGCTGGAAGGGCATCCACTGCGTAAAAACATGTGCTGGATGAGTTGGCGGTTCATTCCGCTGTGAATAAGCTGAAAATGAATGAATGAATGGTGCCGAAATCCAGAAAGGAAGGAGGAACACGCTGCCAGGAAGTCTTCACAGCTGAAAAGGGTGTGGTGCCATCAAGTCAAATGAGCAGAATCTGCCTCCTGAGACGCTCAAGGCCAGCATGGCATGAAGCTTGCCACCATCCATCACAACCTGGAGAGACGGCTGCCGCCAGTGAGGGGACGGAGGAGTCACCCATTTACTGGATGCAAGACGGGAAGGCCAGGAGACGCAGGACTTACAGAGTCACTGCGATCTGCTGAGAAGAGCAGAGAGCGAAAGGGACGGGGGGCTCACGGCCGGGTACCCTGATTCCAGAGGAGCTGTCGCCCTCCAGCCGGTAGTAGCAAAGTGGGAGGACGTCCACCGAGGGGGTTTGTGTAATAAATGGAAAGCAAATGACAATTGTCATGTGTTAATAGTGAAAATTGTACATTAAAATAAAGTGTGAGCAACATTTTTAACCGATAGTCTCAAGGGAGTCAGCGTTGACCTTGTGACCTATGCTCCCCGCATAATATCCCAATGTCAAATCCATTCAGTAAGTCAGTTTTCTCTGTTTGGTAATACATTCTCTCTCTCTCTTTCTGCTCGCTCTTAAACACATACACACGTCTTCGGGATATGAAGCCCCACTGTTGCATATGCAGCACCGTCTGAGCTTTTCAAAAGTTTCTGCGCAAGATGTCCAAATGTTTTCCCTGGCTGGGTCTTCAGAGACTAAACTCTGATTAATGGTACTGAAGGAGCCTTTGAAGCCGGATTGGTGACATCAAAGTGCTAATCCATGGGTGGCAGGAGTTTTATAATGAGTGGGAAGCATTTTAGCACGTTTCAAAGGCTCCGGCGCATGAATAAACAATGGCAGCGCAGATGTGCCACACACCTTTAGAAAAATACCCACCGCCGAAACGCGGAGCGTAACTGTAGCTACAGCGCGTCTGTGTGTGTGTGAAGGAATCTAGGGAAATGAAACATCTGTTATTCTTGTAGTCTGCGCCTCAGTAATACACCAGATGACAGATTAGAGAGGGTCACAGACTCAAACAAGCAAACAATAAGTCCAGAAAACAATTATCGTTTTTCTTCTCATTTGTTTCGTAATGACCGGCTCGTGTGAATGAGCACGCATGGTTCCCAGCGATCGCAGCAGATCAGGTTTAATTGCTCTATTTGTCAGGGATTAATTGAGTTGCTCCAGATCTTACTATAGCTCAGCAAAACCGCGCTCCTGCCAATGAGATTACAGATGTAGGCTGCTGGTAAATGTTAAACCCTGACACAGCACTGGAAGATGGGTTTATGGGAAATGCTTTCACACTGACAGATGGGTGCTGGTGCTGGAGCCAGGGGTTAGGCTTATTCTGTACATTTCCAAATGGAAACATCAGCTTCCAAAGGTCTCAAACCAATATTTCAAATAAAAAATGGTCTAACACCGTTTATGTATAATCACGTACAGTATATATACATTCTGCATAAACACAGTTTATTAGGTACACCTTACAAGTACCAGGTTGGACCCACTTTTGCCTTCAGAACTGCCTTAATCCTTTGTGGCATAGATTCAACAAGGTACTGGGAATATTCCTCAGATTTTGGTCCATATTGACATGATGAAGTCACACAGTTGTTGCAGATTTGTCAGCTGCACATCCATGATGCGAATCTCCTGTTCCACCACATCCCAGTGGTTCTCTATTGGATTGAGTTCTACAAACTGTGGAGGCCATTTGAGTACAGTGAACTCATTGTCATGTTCAAGAAAGCCTGCTGGAAGTAGCCATCAGACGATGGGTACACTGTGGTCATAAAGGGATGGACATGGTCAGCAACAATACTCAGGCTGTGGTGTTGACACGATGCTCAATTGGTATTAATGGGCCCAAAGTGTGTCAAGAAAATATCCCCCACACCATTACACCACCACCACCTCCAGCCTGGGGTGCGTTTCTGAAAACCATCGTTAGCCAACTATGGTCACAAGTTCCGTCGTTACAAACATAGTTTGTTGAGTTGGTGTTTCCCAAATTCATCGTT